TTTTCACTAGAACAACCTCTAAAACTAGATGCCTGTTTCTGGTTCTTTTTTATTAGAAACAAATATCTTCCTAGAACAATAGGTGTTCTTTATGTTTCATTTATAGTCTTTCTTCAGTTTTTCAAATACAAAAGGCCCCATAGGACCTGCGCACCTTCCAAACACCTCCCTTACTTTGTCTGAGTTTCTACTTAAATGCCACCTTCTCAAGGAAGCATCCCCTGACCACTCCAGGTAAAAGCGCTCCCCTCCCCAGTCTTTTCTTTACAGTTCTTATCACCTTACTCATAGTATAAAACTTGCTTATTTATTATGATGTGTGCTTAGAATGTAAGCTTCATAGAGAAATCATGTATGCTTTGCCTATGCTTAACCTCAAAGCTTAGACTTGGCTGGCACTGAGAAGGCATGCAAGACATATTTGTTGAATGAATAAATGCTGTGCTTCTGTACAGAACACCTTCCTACCCTTTACTATTGCCTAATTAACCTCTACTTTCCTGGCCTTCTAGAGCAAGATAGGTCATCCAGCAATGTCTATTTTTGTCCCACTGAATTCATCATGGCCATAATTGTACCTTTCATTGCACTTGATTAGTGCAGGTCCAGAAGGGCAGGTGCCATGACTGTTGCCCCTGCTTCTTGCCGTTGTAGTCCCAGCTGTCATCCAGGCAGAGAGCTGCTGCTCAGTACACTTTTGTTGATTGAATTTTGGTAGAGTTGAGCATCACACACCACTTCTAATTCTTGTGTGGTAAGAATTAGAATTGGCAATTTGGGTAAGCCCCTTCTATCTGCCAAGACTCCTCTAACACCACTCTTCTGAACCTCAAAGCTGTAGCCAAGTTTGCCCTTTTCAGTTCCCTGAGGATGCTTTGTTCACTTGATCTACTATTTCCCCTTCCTGGAAACTACCCACCCCCACCCATCTCCTTTACATGCCCTTTATACAGTTCCCTTCAACATATCCTTTAGACCCTAGATTAAACACTTTCCTAGGAAATCATCTTTTGCCCTCAAATTTCAGTTGAGGTTTGTCACAAAACCTTGTTTCTTTCCTTCATAGAAATAAGTTCTGTCCGTTCTTAAATATTTGCTCATTTTCATCATGCCTACCATGCCTACCATGGTGACCACGGATGAAAGGAATTAGCATTTGATTTCAAAGAGGGAGCCTGAGAAATGGCTACCATTGTTTCTAGTTTCCAAGGAAGGCAGCAGGCTCACAGATTACTCACTCCTGACCCAGGAAAGTAATGACAAATTCTCTTTTTGTTCACGGTTTTACCTCTGTTACCCAGCACAATCCTTGGGACATAATAAGAACATAGCAAGTATTCACTGAAAAAATGAAAAACAGAAGGCAGATTCTCAGAAAGAGATATGATAATGTCCTCCAGGACTGAATACTCTACATAAATTACTAATCTCAGTTATTTAGCCAAGCTATTTCTCAATAAAATCAGTTAACTGGCATCATTGCTTACAAATCAGACTCTCTGTGCATTGACATCCTAGAAACTGTTAAAGTTAAGGACAAGTTTATGACCTGTGGTGACACTGCTGAGGGACAAGTTGAACCTCTGAGAGAGAATCAAATTAATTTACAACAGATTGTACTTTGCAGAATACTATCCTTCATAAGCCATGCTCTTTTAGAATCCCTAAGCATATGTTCTGACCTAACTTTGTTTTTCTTCAAACCTTTTAACAGAAAGGCTTCTAAAAGTCTTTTTAAAAAGTTAGAGAAAAATGGGGTGCCTGGGTGGCTTAGTCAGTTAAGCATCTGCCTTCAGCTCAGGTCATGATCCCAGCCCCGCATCAGGCTCCCTGCTCAGCGGGGAGCCTGCTTCTCCTTCTCCCTCTGTCTGCCACTTCTCCAGCTTGTGTTCACTCTCTCTCTCTGTCAAATAAATCAATAAAATCTTTAAAAGAAAGTTAGAGAAAATCTAACTTATAATAAAGTTCATAGAATTAAGTCAATACACATAAAAATATTCTATGAGGAGTATTTTCAGAGTTTTAACTCCAGATGATAAGAACACATCCCTCTCTTACTGTACTAAATCAAGGACTTCCCTTTCTAGTTTGCCCCATCTTCATCTCTTGACTAAAGACCACTGGGTATCCATGTGGGGGCTCTGGATGGTGCCTCAGCACAATGGAGCAAAACAGATTAAGGCACTGTGATGGCGGAAAAAGGAGTGGGATAAATATTCAAGACTAACAAGTCGAGGGGAATAAGCTATGGATGACCAGACCTAGCTCCAACAAAAGCCCTCGAGGATCCTTCTCAGATCCATGCCAGTTTTGTATTTGTTTTTGTTTTTGTTTCAGTTTTGTCCCTTGTGTGGAGTCCGTATACTTGCTTTTCTTTCCTTAAATTCTTCCTATTCTAACAGAATTCCTCTGGGCCCAGTATCAGACATAGTAATAGCTTGTGGTTTCTGAAGCACACATGGAATTCTTATTATATGCAGAGAATACTTGTGCTGCTGTTAAAGTGACTCCTCTAATGTATTTGTTTATCTCTCTTTTTATCCTTTATTATTTCTCTTCTCCTCCTCCTTCTCTGCCAACTTCTCTTTCTCTTCCCCTTCCTTTTAAAAATCCAACTAGGTTAAGATTAGATTATATCATTTGCAAAGAACCTAAGAAAGAATCACCAAAATGTCAAAGTCAGATGAGAGCCCAGCATTCCAGAGCAATTCAAACCAATTCAAACCAATGGTCAAATAAGGCACAGAATCCAAGCATGGATTCCTCTAAGACAGGGAAAAATCATGGGATGAGAAGAAAGAAATGTTCAAGGCAGGGTGTTCTCCCCAAAGAATTCCTTCTAACCCTGCCCTTTTAGACACTAGTCTAGATTATATAAAAGTCAGGTCACAGTAAGGAGGTATGTAGAGGGAAATGAGGGTATCAAAGGGGAAAAGGGGGTTGCAGGGAAAAGAGAAAGCTAGGAGGTAGTAGTCAAGACTAATTAATAGTGAGGCAATCATGGACAAATGCAGATGGAGTCCGTATGATTTAGGAGAAGCCAATACACGCACAGCTATCTTAGTAGATATCTTTGGGCCAATGAAATAAAGACAGAAAATAAGGCAAAAATGAAAGCAAGTAAGATAATAAATACAGAAAAGCTTAGGGCCACAACTCTTAATTTATCCTAAGTAAGCTCTAACCCAGTCACGATCTATGAGTACTATAGACTGTTTTTCAAGGTGGCTTAGCCCCACAGACATCACCCCGGAATGATTACATTCTAAAGCTAGTTGTATTAGGTCTGGTAATACCAAAGTGGATGTTTCTCAGTTGTCATGTTAACTAGAAATAGTCTATGACTTAGAAAAATGTCGGCCTTGATTTTTTTTTAACCAGTCACCCTCCCAACTTCTGCCCCCCTAGCCTTCTTTTACCTTTTCTGAAAACTTCTGAGGAATGCTGAGTATTAGATTTTTACCCATCTATAATTAGCTACCACACTATTTTATGAGAACTACAGAAACCTTTCAAATGGTCGTAGCAGTGGTCTATCAGTACAGCCCTTTAGCTGGTCACAAGTATGCATGTGTGCAATGCATCTGATCATATATGTGATGATATATTATAATAACAGGTGCCAAAAGCCTTTTTATATCTGTAATCCCTATAATTTCATTGAATCATAAGCAATGAACATGGGTGACTAATATATGTTAAATGCTCAGTTGTAGCAGTTCAAGAATTTTCTTTTTGTCATTTAATGATAGAGAAGAAGATACCATTGTTAAAGACTGGAAGTTTAAAGCAGTAACCTGAGGAAATGACATTTTACTGGGATAAAAAAACACAATTCACACAAAGAAAGAAGGAAACGGAGATAAGGCTTTAAGAAACTGTTTTTGTTATAGGTTGGGTAAGAGTAACTATGTTTAGAACAATCTTGTGCTGATAAAGCTATTTAAACCCACATTGAGTGGATCCTTAGACATGTCAGACTATTGGCCCCTAACAATCACAAAGAAAAGGTAGGCATTTCATGGGTAAAGTGAATGCCTCAAGTATAACCTGTAGTTGTGTGTGTGTGTGTGTGTGTGCATCACATTCAGAACAATAAGTTGTATTTTTCCTTAATGTTGATGTTTTGGTGTATGTACATACGTTTTGTTGAAAATGTTTTCAATATTTTTACAGTAAAATGTTGTTCCCAATTAGGAAGAAAGGATAAAAATATGAAAATACCCACCTTACTCTTTGTTAATAGGTGCTGGTTATGTTTTCCAAGGATATAATTACTATGACTCAGGTTGAATGAGGGCTTGAAACGCTGAGTATCTTCTCCAACAAAACTTATATATCCTGCTATGTCCTCATCAAGACTATAACTGAAGTTGTCCAGGAAAAAAATATGAAGGTGTTTGATTTCTCACAATATGACTGAATGTGATCCCTTTTGAGTGTTTTTTTCTTTTTACCTTTGTCCTCTCTTTAACTGTAGGTTTTAAGAAGATATAAACAATATTCCTCTGACCAGTTCTCTAATACATGTTATTCAACTGTAATTAAAAAAAAAACAGATCTGGGGCGCCTGGGTGGCTCAGTCGTTAAGCGTCTGCCTTTGGCTCGGGTCATGATCCTGGGGTCCCGGGATTGAGTCCCACATCAGGCTCCCTGCTCGGCGGGAGGCCTGCTTCTCCCTCTCCCACTCCCCCTGCTTGTGTTCCTGCTCTCGCTGTCTCTCTCTGTCAAATAAAATCTTAAAAAAAAAAAAAAAAAAAAAAAAAACAGATCTGCATTCATATATTTCCCCAAAGGCCAGGAAGCTAGTGTGAACAAACAGTGGATAGTTAGTGAAAGGGAAATGTGTACAAATGGGGCTTTATTTGACTTAGTTTAAATAAATATACTGCATTGTAAATATTTGCAATATTCAAATTACATTATACATTTTCTAAATTTTTTCTGAATTGCAATTAATTATTTTGAATGACACAGTGTATTAAAGAAAATAATCTGACCTTCAGTTGTTCTTCCAAGGCAGCAGTTGCATGGTCTCCACTAGATTCATCGACCACCACCACCATGTGAGTGAGAGAATTGACCCTGACTTGTTCCTGTTCTAAGTCTTCTTGAAGCACCTGAAAGATAAAAAAATTAAAAGCAATTAAAATAATAATCTCCTGAACTGAATGCCAAAAAAATCATTTCTTTCCAAATATGTGGGATTTAATTTCTGTCATGTTTTGGGTAATGAAACTTTTTTATTAAACCAGAACCATTCCAAGCAAATTTTCTGCTGTGGTTCTCAGCAAACTTAGCACATTTCTACTGTTAACTGAACTTGGAAGTACACAGAGGGAGGATCTGTTGAGAAAATTATGGTAGAATGTGCTACACCTTATACCACCTCCTCTCACATTTTCAAGGATTTTTCTCCTATAATTACCTGCTGTCTCGGGCTTCTTCAACATCTCCTTCTCCACTGAAACTCATCATGATCAACTGTAACAAGACAAACTCTCTTGACCCAACGAACCCTTCCTGCTACTGCTTTATTATTTGTTCCTCTTCACTGAAAAATATTGTTTTCTACCCTTACTCTTGCCATTTCCTTACCCTACTATTTTCTTTGCCAACTACCCCTTTGAAACATCTCTTGTAAAGGTTGCCATCAACCTCCAGGTCCCCAAATCCATTCTTCATTCATTCTCTTCTCTTGAGCTTCACATACCACCCTTTCCTGATGATGCCCCCCACCTTGCTAAGCACTGCATTTGAACTCCTTTGCTGGTTCCTTCTCCTCTGCTCAACTACAAATCAGATGTCATTTCTCTGTATAAAAGCCAATGGAGTCACATCACAATAAGAAGGAAAATACAAAAAAAAAATTTAAAAAACGAAAATACAAATTCTTTCCCAGAAATCCTTATAACATCTAGTACCTGTCCACCTCTCAAATCTAATTGCCTACAATTCTTGCCCTCTGATACTATGTTTCGGCCACACTTGTTTTCTCCCCCACAGTCTGTCAAGCTGTTTGCTTTGCTTGAAGTGTTCTTCCTCCATATCTCTAAATAATATCTCTTTTGTATTGTTCAAGACTCATTTTAAGTGTCAGTTACCCAGAAGGGCTTTTTCATGAAGATGCTGTCTAAATTTCTTTCTCAATTACTCTCAATCTCTATACTTTTTTTAAGATAATATTTTCACTACTCAGTATTTTCTTATATATTGGTTTAGTCATGTATTGTTTGTATAACTTACTGGAATATAAGGTCAACTAGAACAGAGATGTCCCTTGTCCTCACTACATATTCCAAGTGACTGAAGATCAATAAACTGTTGCTGAATAAACGGTGCCAGGTGGAGGGGTAAGGGCAAATGTACAGATGAGTTTGGATAAAGATTACATTCTAATAGGAGGGATTTGCTTTTTAAAAACTGTAATTATAACTACACTTACATCACATACAACCATAAAACAGTAGTCCAATCTTTTAAAAATCATAGTATACAACTTTCTTGCAAAGATAAACAGGGTAAAAAGAGTGATAAATAGAGAAGGAGTAACAGAGAAGGATGCTCTAGAACTGAGACATCTTGCCTGGGAGCTCCAGTTCCCCCAAGACCTTATCACACTACCCTCATTGTGATTAGAAAATCCCTATATGGGTATGCAAAATGTCTAATCAGCTAGTTTGCTCCCTGGAACGCTTTATTATATAATATAAGAATGGAGAAGTAGGTTTGGGACAAGGTCTGTTAATTTCTGGAAAATCTGCAGTCCTTGCCTGTGAAACAGTGATGTTTGGTACCTGTCAGACCGGCTCTTAGTTATGCAAGCCCTGTGGTAGATGTAAGCGAACTTATTTGGTATTGGTCACAGCACAAACTCAAACACATGAGCATTTTTATCCCAGGACTTTTATTTTTTGAGTCTCAATATTTTAGAGCACTATAAAATCACTTACTTTTAGTTCCTCTCTCTAGATTTTCATGCCATATTTTCAAGTGAAGCGATTTAGAATAAAATGACTATGCATTTATTTTGTGTGTGGAGTCTATACTGCCTATCACGGCTTTGACATTCCAGGGTGTACACTGGGTAATAAAACTCTTTCTGCCATGAGGCCGAAAATGGAAACATTAACATTCAGAATTGTCCTTGAAAGTCATGTTGAGTCTGTGTTTTCTGAGTTATATAAGGCAGGACTGGGAGCATTTCAAATGTGTCAGCCAGAAATTGTAAAATAATTAAAATAATATTTTGGTGGCCATAAGTTCGTTTCCTTAATTTGGCCAAATTCTTTCTCCCTACCATTCAAGTATGAGAGCATACACAATTACATGTATTAAAAACAACTAGGAAATAATGCTATACTGTTCACATTTTTATATCTAAACTATTGTTTTCACTATTTTAATATATTTTAATAAAGGAACTTGAGAAAATCATCATTTGATCAGTGAAGTACTAATTTTAAACTCGAGTTCAGTCTTTCTAAAGCATATGTGATCAAATGTACTATTTATTTTTTCCAGCACTTAGATTTCTGATTTTGTTTTGCTTATCTAATTGCTTTATAATTAGAAATTATATTCTTGCCATATTTATCAGGTTTAAATTTTATGCTTTTGCAGGAGTGCTAACACAAAGAACCACTAAAGTTAGTTGTGGGTTGATAGCTTCAAAACCAAACATAAGACCTATCAGGATATATAGTGAGTAAAGGGAAACAAAGGAACATGGGAAAGGCATTCCACAGTGCCTCAAATTCTTGAAGAGTGCATAGCACCAGAGGAGATTAGCATATACTATTTGATTTAAGTTATTTCCAGTATTTCTTTTTCCCTTCTATGATTTTTTCAAATTATACCTCTTCTTTTACTCATAATCAGGGATTAAAACAGAAAGGGTTAAACTTAACTTTTCTGAGCACACTCCATAGCCTCAAAACAGAAGCCACTGAAACATTATAATCATATTTCCTATTTCCCCAGACCTCCCCTCTGAAAATAAATAGAATGCATACCACAGTATTTGCTAATGCCCCCAGTATCATCAAAAGACAAACGACTATAAAATACCAATGTCTAGAACTCATTTTTTTAAAAAGTTGATTCTTAGAAGTAGCAAAAATGTCACATACAGAGAGGTGGGATTAAAAAGTTAAATTTCTCGGGGCACCTGGGTGGCTCAGTCGTTAAGCGTCTGCCTTCAGCTCAGGTCATGATCCCAGGGTCCTGGGATCGAGCCCAACATCGGGCTCCTTGCTCAGCGGGAAGCCTGCTTCTCCCTCTCCCACTCCCCCTGCTTGTGTTCCCTCTCTCGCTGTCTCTCTCTCTGTCAAAAAACAAATAAAATCTTAAAAAAAAAAAAAAGTTAAATTTCTCTGCCCACTTACATATCCATGAATAAGTGCCTGGATCATTGGTAGAAACTATGCCTTCCCGCTTCCCTCTTCGAGAAAACACAAATTCTCAAGACTACTAATTTTTAAAATACATTACAATTTTTTAAGCTATTTTAAAATGAATTTTAATTAAATATTTACTTCTTATGGATTTGAATTTCTCTTAGCTGGATTTATACAATAGAGATTTACAGTAGATTTGCTAATTAATCCTGAAATTATGAGCCAAATTATTCCAAATATAGATATATCCCCAGAGAAGTATGCTAACATTTTTACCTATCAGGAAATAATATCTTCAAATTGAAATGCTGTAATATGATTGTTAAAGTATATTTTTCTTGATTAAAAGCATATAAATTACTTACACACACACAAGTACATGCTAAGTATTTTATTACATATTTCTTGCCATTATTTTTATACAAGTAATGCATTTTTTACACTTACCAGATGAAAAAAAAATTTCAGGCTCCTAATTACATTTCTATACCATTATTAGATAGATACAAATGTCAGCAATGTTTGTTCTCTAATGTCAACTAACAATCTTTTTTTTTTCCTTACGACAAGAGAAAAGGCCAACAGTGAAATTTAACATTAAAAATGCTTAGATTTGACAGATTTTGTTAGACCTCTGTAAATAATTCTATTTCTTATAAATTATTCTGTAGTTAAAGGTCCTGACCAAATTTGTTATTCCCTTAGTACCTATTCACAATTTATGATTTAAATATGACTTTAATTCTATTCCCTTCAAATGTCATCAGTAGTAATGAATCCTTCTTCCCCTGACCCATGTCAAGTTGTTTTTCAAAAACTGGCTTAGAATGATCACTGAAGAAGAGTCACTTTAGTGTTTACTCCAACTTAAGTGATTTAACTCTTTATTAGCACACAGGTGAAATAATGCTTGGAAAATAAAGGAATGGAAATACGTAAGGCTAGGGAATTACTAGATTTGATGTGCAGAGGTGAAGAAGAACAATTAATAAAAACATAAAGAAAGAGAACACAAAAACAAGGTTGGGTCTCTCACAATCTCCCTAGGAGGCTCTACAATATTTCCTTTGGCCATAGTATATACTCAGTAACATGGAATAGGAAAGGGCAGTGGCTACCTATGTGCATAGTCTATTTCATTACTCCTTCTACTTGAATGATCAACCAACATAAAATTGCCAACATCAAGTCCACGCATGTGGACATTTGCACATACACACGTACACACACACACACATAACTAGAAACAACACAGATCATGGGCTATTGCATGGATTCTAAGACCATCTGCTGCCTCCCACATATTACTTTAAATTAATATAATTAAAAGATGTTTAATAAAATATTAAATTTAAGTAATTTGCAGCTTTTTAGTTTAGCCTAAGAAAATGTACACAAAAAGAAAGGCTGATGAGAACAAAACTTGTATTAAATATAAAATTTGCAAAAAATCTTAAGAAATTAGAAGAGTTTCTAGAAACATGGGATAAGACCAACACCTACGAAAGTAGTATTTAAAAAAAAATCCATCTCAGGAACAAAAAAAGAAAATCCCTAGACACTTATGGACAATTAGCTAATGCAATACATCTGGATATGAATTGATTCTATTTTCAAATAAAAACATCCTGGCCAAATCAGAAAATTTTATGATTTCTTAAGAAATGATGAGAAGGTAGGCAATTTATCTTTCTCTTCACCTTTTCTCTTATGGCCATTCT